GACACAGTAGTTCATAAGTTATGACATCATCTGATAAAGGGACCTGTGTGCTTCATAGAATCATCCAAACAATGTACGTTAAATCAAATTATACCCATTTTCACTCCTGGGGTGTAACCTAGCTTCTACCACCTGATTCCTATTCCTACCAAGATGTGTTTATTCTTTTTTAAAAATAGATTTTTTAAAAATGTTTGTGAGTTTCATACAATCATGTTAATCATATTTAGTCCCCTTTCCCCTATCTGCACCTCCCCCATAGGCTGCCCACAGTACTCCATGCATTTTGTGATATATATATTAAGGTCTGCTGAGTCAAGTTTGTGTACTCCCTGTCCCTCAGTGTGAGTTCATTCTTAACCAATGGCCTCTATCAATGTTTTTTAAATAGTCTGGGCTGGACCAGACAGCTGCTGGGAAAAAGAAACAATCCTTCCCAAGGTCCATATTTTCTGACAATGTCAGAAAAGAATGAGAACTTCAGGTTAAAATATCAGAATGTTCCCCATCTGTAACAAATCGCATTTGGCTTTCTAGTTATACCTCTTTGTTACATCACCCCACCCAAGTTAAAGGAAGACCCAGGTCAGCCACCCTTCTTGCAAAGACTTCTCAGGAAATGCATGTTTTCTCCTCATTCTCCAGTTTACCACAAAGCAGCACTAAATTCACCTAGAGTACCTTCTTGAGTTTGTTAATTTCCAGGAAATCCCGTAAGTGTTTACAATCTGAAGTCTCTTTGGAAACAAGATGCTGACGAAAACGTCTCGACATGATCTGAACCAAATCAACCTCTGTACTGAGCTTAGACCAGCTTTTCTATGAGATACTCTTGTAAAATCCCCAACTCAGGATCATGGAACATGTGGGCAAGGAGTGGAATGAAAGCCTAAGTCTTGGCAAAGTCTATATGATTATCTTTGGTTCTATATGTATTTAGTAGTAGTGAGCTGAGATTACAGTGACTTTCTTTGATTCACAGTCACCCTACATTTGAAGGAATATATATAATGGTGATATATACATATACATATTTACATATGTATATGGAACATATGCAGCAGTGTAATCTCTGGATATTTATACATTGCCTCCACTAAACAACCCAAGAATAAAGAATGATGCCTCTGAAATCCAATGCGATCACAAGCAGCTAATGTCTGCTTGCATAAATAATCACATTGATAACATTTTTATGATTGTAAAACTTTCAAACATTCATTGAATACCTAAAAGGATCTCTTGCCAGAGAAAAAAATCTTCCCCAGGTAAACTGTGGTCAAATTTTCAGTAGGGAGAATTGAAGATAGCTGTCATGTCCCCTGCAACAGCAGTGTTTGTGAGACTAATACTGAAATCCTCAGAAGAGAGGGGTTCTCAGGGTGCTTGCTCCTGGATTTTTTGGATCAAGAATTAGACCTGATCCCTGGCATTCCCACAAAACTGGGAGCACCCTGCAGGGGGCATTGCAGTGGGATTGATCAGCCAATAGAGACTCAGCAGAGTTAGTATCTAGCCATTGGTGGTACCAGCCCTAAGGCAAAGGAGAACTGAGAGTCTTGGGGAGGGTATATTGCAGTTGTGACAGTGGTCAGGCTGCTTTGCTTATAAAATGTTAGGGGATTTATTACTCACAGCTTCCAGAGAATATAATACTGGCCACAGAGGATCTGAGCATACATTTCTACATAAAGCTCATGTAAATGACAGATGAAGTTCTATTAAAATGTTCAAAGCCCTTTCTCCTCACCTTAATAGTAAGAGTTATTGTCAGAGTAAGGAGCAATATTTTATTATTTTAGCAAATTTTCCTCTTAAATTTGGGCTTTAATCAGAGGTCCTCAACATTTTGCAAACTTAGTCTTTTTTCACATTAGTCATCCCATAAGAAAAAAAAAAAGGATCCCTTACATATCACAGAATATTTCTACACCTTTACAAAATAGGTATGCTTTCTTACCCTTTATCTATGCTCCACAAATAGTCAGAAATCTTATGAGAAAAGTAAAATGTATTTTGAAACAAACAAACACAGACTATTGCTTGAGTCTTGGTTTAAATGAGAAATCTGAAGAAAGAAGAGGCCCCCAGCCAGGATTCATTTTGAAGGACAAGATACAGAACAGAAACCAAAGTAGTACTCACTGCAGACTCCCCCACTTAGCAGCACCCAGAAGCAAGCCTCCTTTTCAACCTAAGTTCCTCCTTAGCCAAGCCATTTGGAGAACAATGTTCTCATACATGCCTTGAATGAGCTACTATTATTTTCTTAAGTGAAGGGTGTTCAGGTAAGTGGAACATGAGCACTACTTTAACAACTGATGGTCTCTTTGATTTCTGGAAAATACCGTATTTTCTCACCTGAATTCTGAGGAAGAAAGGCTGGAATGCAAGAGGATGCCATCCAACTCTTAACTCTGTTCAATGACCAATAATTCTCAAACTTAGGATACTATTGATACTGCAGGAATGTAATAACTGAAAAAAAATTTATCTAATTCAAGATTTTCTATTCCTTAGGAAACAGGCTGCTTTGGAATATTTGATCATGTTTAAAGAATGGTCCTCACCCTGATCACCTACTTGGAAGACTTTAAAATTTCCATTGCCAACACCATCTCAGACACTGAAGCAGAAACCCTAGAGTGGCGTGCAGCCTCAGTTTTATCTGACACGCTGGTGGCTCCAATGCACAGCGAGGATTAAAAAGCAGTGTTTTAGTCCAGTGGTTCTCAAACTTGAATGTGTCTCAGAATCAGTTGGAGGACATCATAGAACAGAGGTTGCTGGGCCCTCAATACCAGCATTCCTGTTTCAGCACATCTTGGGCAGAGCCCCAAAATTTATATGTCTAACAAGCTCCTAAGTAAAGTTGAAGTTCAGGAAACCATACTTTCAGAATCAATGTCTTACATGAATCTGTTGCTCTGACAGTTTTAGTCAAAAGAAATAAAACAATCTGTATGTTTACATTTTAGAAAAACTGGTCTAATACAGCTAACCATTTTTAATCATCTTGTATAATCTTTACTTTGACAACCTAATGGAAATACCAGTGACTGAGTCAAAGAGCAAGTCTTAATGGCTTCACTTCCTGTCCATATCATAAAACACAACTGAGATGTTTAAATCAACCACTTATGTGGTACTTAGGTAAAACTCTAACCCTTATAAAATGCTGCACACTATAATCAGCTTCATGAAATATCTGATTCATTTCATCTGGTTCACTTGAAAATTTGAACAGTTGGAGTACCAGGAAAAGAGAGTTACATAATCACATCTTGATTAGCAAGAAGTACCAATTCAAAATATTTACCTTTTTCCAGTTTTCCTCACTTCTTAAGAATCATCTTTCCAATGCTTTGGAAACCACTAGTATTCTGGCAGCCACACCAGCTGGCACATCACACAAATTCTCTCATGTGACAATTATGCCTTGATATTAACTCTATCCTTTTTTTGTTGGAGTTTTGATTTTTTTGATAACTGGCTATGACTATACCAATGTCCTTCTAAAATGCTTTTAAAAATGTCTTCATAACCAGGTAGCAGCTGTAGCACTGAGGGACTAGAGCGAGGGCTGAGCAGTTACTGGTGCTTGTTGTTCAGTCATGAAGACTAGAGATTGGATTCCATCACCCAAGTTGAGTGGCTCACAAACACCTGGAACTCCAGCTCCAAGGGACTTTTAGCCTCCACAGGCACCTTCGCCCACCTACACAAAGACACATTCATACACACACGAATAAAATAAAATCTTAAAACTTATAGGTAAGTGTTCAGATTAAATTTGTGCATGACAGCAAAAGAACTGAAAATAGCACAAAAGGTCATTAGCAATAGAATAAGTAAATAAGAACATAGTTACATAATTAAGAACTACAAAACAAAAGGATTAATGTAAAACACGACATGATTAATTTTATAAACATAATTTTGGGTCTAAGGGAAGCAAACATTAAAGAATTCAACATGGAGGCTGGAGAGATGGCTCTGCAGTTAAAGACCTTGCTGATCTTGTAGAAGACCCAAGTTCAGTTGCCAGTGCTTGTGTCAAGTGGCTCACAACTGCCCGTAACTCCAGTTCCAGGGGAGCTGCAGCCATCGTCTGGACTCTGTGAGCCCCTGCACTCTCATGTGCATACCCACACACAGACATAGTCATATACTCATTGCACATAATTAAAAATAAAATAAGTCTTTTTTTTGTTTGTTTTTCATAAGATAAAAATGAATCACAGCCAATTTTATTCAAATTCTCCCAAATTTATACCAAACGTGAACTGTTTCTAAAGTATATGTCACCCTTTACAGAATGGTTACTGCGATTTTTTTCTTCTTTCTTACAGTTCTTTAATAGAAGCCAGAATCCTGTGTTGCCCAGTTGGGAGCCTCTGATCTACTATTCTGATTAAGTTTCT